ATAGTTTGAAGTCTGGTAGTGTGATGCCCCCCCGCTTTGTTCTTTTTGCTTAGAATTGACTTGGCTATGCGGGCTCTCTTTTGGTTCCATATGAAGTTTAAGGTGGTTTTTTCCAGTTCTGCAAAGAAGGTCATTGGTAGCTTGATGGGGATAGCGTTGAATCTGTAAACTACTTAAACCTATATTATTTCAGTTACTTGTTTCATAGTTGCTTTTTGGATTATAGTATTTATCTTGACTTACATTCTACTTCAGAATAAAACTAAATGAATTTTGTTAAAATAGAACAACTTTGTACCAAAGTTCTATGTCCTCTTCCCCTTGTGTTACTATTTTCACATATCTTACATATATAGGTCATAAATGAAACAATGCAGTCTTATAATTATTTTATACAGTCCTATATTTTTAAAAGATCTAGGAGAATAAAAGAGAAAATATATTTATTACATTTCGCGTGTGTGTGTACCAACAGTTTGCTTCTTTTAAAAAAATTTTTTTTACTTTTTAAAAATTTATTACACTTTAAGCTCTGGGATACATGAAGGGAGCAGTATGTAAAGCTGGCCATGCATGCTGTATGAGTTTGTGTTGAACAATGAGAACATATGGGCACAGGGAGGGGAACATAACACACTGGTATATTGGGGAGCTAGGGGCTAGGGGAGGTACAGCTGGGAGCGGGGAGGTTCAGGAGGGATAACACTGGGAGAAATGGCTGATGTCAGTGATGGTGGGGGATGGAGACAGCAAACCACCATGGCATGTGTGTACCAATGCAGCAATCCTGCAAGATCTACGTATGTACCCCAGAACTTAAAGTACAATAATATAAAAAAAAAAAGTTGAAGGATGCTACTTGTCTCATCATTTCAGTAGGTAGATTTTCACTTAAACTTTCTGTTTTCAGTATATTATCTCACCTTCAATTTGCCTTCTGTGTTGAATGCAGGTCTTTTTGTTCAGCCCCTCTAGGGTGTAATCTCTTCATCTTCTGCCAGAGGGGTTGATTTGGAGACTTGCTGTTTTTTAAGGCTTTCCCAGTCTGGCTATTTTTATCCTCAATCTTCATCCCTTCCTTTATAAGTGAATAGTTTATTCAGTTTCTGAGCTTTTATGAAATTTTGCTAGTAGAATTACCTTGTTTATTAGTTTCCCTCTGAAAGCTTAGATCTCAGTTTTCTTAGGATTGCTTCTTAGTTTTAAAAATATTGATGTCCATTTTCTGTGTTTATTTCCTCTTCTACTTTAATTGTCTTTGTGAGTTTATGCCTTTTCTATTCCTTTCTTGTGTTTTTAATTGAGTTTTTGGAAGGCAATAGAGATAAATATAGTTTTCAACCTGCCATCTTTAAATGAGAGTCTTTGAGCTAATATGTAAACCCATTTCATAACTGATAATCTCTATTGTTTCCCAGACTTTTAATTAGCAATATATCTAAGACTTAGTAGGCACTCTTAAATACGTATATATATATATATATATATATTTAAATAACCTTTTTGACTATATAAGCCTATGTGTCCTAACTGTATTTTTGAACCTCATGAAATTTGTTACTTTAAGCAGTTGAGTTTATAATTTTTACTGCCTTCTTACAGAGACAGGGAAGAACGATTGGCAGCACTCACAGCCGCTCAACAAGAAGCTATGGAAGAGCTACAGAAAAAAATTCAGCTCAAGGTAAGGATATTACGTATTTTTAATTTGAAATTTAGAGCTTACAGTGGAACATGAGATCAAAATTTTATAGAACAGAAATGGAATTAATTTGTATTCTTAATCTTTGCACAACAAAGCTTATGTGATTTGCATATGACCATTTCTAATTCAATATCTGGAAACTAAGTTTACTTGATATGGTAGAGCCATTGAGAAAAAAAAACTAAAGGAATTTTAACATTTCCTGTTCTCACTAAGCAATTTATTAATGACTTGAAGGCATTAATGATAGACCTTTTATATTCATAGGTTTTAATAACTCAAAAGTAAATTAAAAGATGTTTCTTATAATTTGCTTCACTTGATTTCAGTGCTTATGAATTGCATAATTGTAGCTTGGGAGGTTGTGATAAACTGATATTTTCTAGAAAATTTTCAGCATTACTACAACCTGTAGGGAGTCTCTAATAGTATGAATGTTTTATATTATATCACAGTTATTTACATGCTGGCTCCTCACAGGGATAGTAAAAGCCTTAAGGTAGAAGACCATATTTTACTATTTGTATAGTTCTAGAAATTTATCATTCATTTAAATTTATTGTAGCAAATATTTATTGAGCCTTGTGGTAGGCAGGGGAATGCAGAGATAAGTTAAGGCATGGCTCTGAATTTTAAGAAACTCTTCATGTAGTTGAGATTCAGATGCTAAGTACATAACCTCCACAAAGATAGAGGCATACATGAAATGCTGTGAAAGCACAGATGAGGACACTTAAATCATGAGGAGTATCAGAGGTCAGGGAAGTGATTTTAAAGAACAGTTCCTGAGCTAGGTCTTGAAAGGAGGTTGAGTAAAATGGATAGGTAGGTGGGATGCCATCCTAGCCATGTGAAGTAGATGAGCATAAGGACAAAGGTCTGAAATAGTGTTTTTGCCCCCAGGATTGTCACTGGAGATATAAAAATGGAGTAGGTTTATAATTTTGGTCATGATGGTCTTTGCCCGCTTTGTGGATAAGCATGTGATTTACCTATAGGTTAATATTTCCCATGGTGGGTTCCAGGAAGTGGTTCTCAAAAATATGTTGTTGGCAAATAATTTGTAAGGCGATGCTTACTAAAAGCTAGGAGTATTGAGTCATGATCACAGTGACCTACTGGAGGCTCTGTAAAGTTCTGTGTTAAAAACCTGTTTAGCTTCAGCTTATTGTTTTCCAAATGTATTTGACCACGGAACCTGTTCTGCAAAACACCTGTTAATATCTCCTGGAGCACACTTCAATAAACATTACTGTTCATGTGGGTGATATTAAAGGGCTTTGTGTAAAGCTTTGTCTTCAGTGTGTAAGTTGACATAGAAATGACACTCTCTTATTATTTTTGAAGTTTTAATGGAAATATTATTTTTCTGAGTTCTCACCATAATTTGAATGATTTTTGAAATTCTTGCACTTTGACTTCATCTACAGCATGATGAAAGTATTCGAAGGCACATGGAACAGATTGAACAAAGAAAAGAAAAAGCTGCTGAGCTAAGCAGTGGGCGACATGCAAATACTGATTATGCCCCCAAACTGACCCCATATGAAAGAAAGAAGCAGTGCTCTCTCTGCAATGCCCTGGTAGGTTGTTATTATCAATATGATAATGATATAATTTACTACTATAAAGTTTATGAAACCATGGAAATTTATTCTTCCAGTCTTTTAAAACTCATGCTAAGGCAGGCCAGGTGTGGCGGCTCATGGCTGTAATCTCAGCACTTTGGGAGACTGAGGTGGGCAGATCACTTGAGGCCAGGAGTTCGAAACCAGCCTCGCCAACATGGCAAAACCCCGTCTCTTCTAAAAATACAAAAAAAATAGCTGGGCATGGTGGCGCGTGCCTGTAATCCCAGCTACTCAGGAGACGGAGGCATGAGAATCCTTTTAACCCCGGAGGCAGAGGTTGCAGTGAACCAAGATTGCACCACTGCACTCCAGCCTGGGCGACAAAGCAAGACTCTGTTTCAAAAAAATAAAATAAAACTCATGCTAAGGCATCTGCTGAGTGACATGAATTTCTTTCATGATTCTGAATGAAAAGTGGTACAAACACCAGCATTTTGAAATAGTACTACAACGTGCTAAAGAATGCAGTTACTATTAAAATGGATGATTGCTTGCTTAATGTGACAGCCCAAGTCAGTATTTTTGGGGTGCTAGATCTAAAAAAAAAAAAAAAAGTAATATTTTTACGGCTGAGACTTGAAACTTCAAACTTAGAGGAAATAATTTCCTATTAGGGTGGCTATAACATGCCTTTTTTTTTTTTTTTTTTTTTTAAATCCATTTGTCTTCTAGAGGATTCTCAGAATTATGTTCTGAGAAACTATTTTTAAGACTAATATGTAAATGCTAGAGTGATTTCAACTCATGCATACTGGATTAAATGTGTAATATTTACAATCCATGTAATGTTAAATTGATTACATTGCTTTGATTTTATGCTTTTAGATCTCTTCAGAGGTATATCTTTTTAGCCATATTAAAGGGAGAAAACACCAGCAAGCTGTGAGAGAGAATAGCAGCATCCAGGGGCGTGAACTTTCAGATGAAGAAGTGGTAAACTTTATTTTTGTTCATTTACAGTTGTTTATTGAGTACCCAATATGTGCTGTTTTATTATAAAGAGTTCCATGTTTTGTATTTATTTCTATGATTATTTAAAACTATATTTAGCACTTAATAGCTACTACAATATAGTCTACAAATGTCTTATTGTTTTAGTATGCATATTAATTTAACAAGAAATATAGAAACAAGAATTTAATACTGTTATTTACATAATTTCAATTTAAGGAAAGGTTGTGGTATATTGATATTTTAATAATGCAGGAAAATAATTACTCAATGGCATACCAGGCTTCTTGGAAAACAGTTAACCATGTAAATTTCACTTAAGAGGATAATTTTGGATCAGTATACCATTGAGAAGCTTTTGGAAATTCATTATTCCTTCTCACATAATCATTGTCAACATGGAATTTAGATTTGTATAAATATGTATATGAATATTTTTCATTTAACTTTTTTTTTTAAACTTGCTGACATAGCTAGATAATCTACTAATTTGTTGTCCTATTATAGTAGATTTCCAAGACTACTCAAGAATAGGAAATTTGCATTTTTGCATCATCATTTAGTCTTGCCTGTTCTTGAATTTCGTGTGAGTGGTATTATACAGTATGTACTCTTTTGTGTCTGACTTCTTGCATTGATGCTTAATTCTGTGCAACTGATACCTATTATTTATATGAAGTTGTGCTTACTTTTCCTAGTGTTATGTCAGTGCCCTCCTATGTACCATCATAAGAACACATCTGTATTTGAGTAATATTTGGTTTAGTGACTTGTTGAAAGAAGGGAAAACAGGAAGAGCCAAGATGGCTGACTAGATGCAGCCAGGAAGAGCGCCTCCCACCGAGATAACAGACCACCAAGAAGGCTGGCACATTCCGAGCAGATCTTCCTAAGGAAGGCATTGAGAGTAGAGGGAGGGAGGGCACACCCTGGGCTGAAGCTGGAGGAGAAAGCTGGTTACCCTGTCTGGCTTTGCAGAGCGCTGGGACTCTCCTGAGGAAGAGGCAGTTAACTAAGTGAGGAGTGGCCCACTTTCACCACAGACCTCTGGAATCCTAGCTGCAGGAGACCTCATGACCCCCATGGACATTTGAGCTGACAGGGAGAATTGCTCAGAGAGGTGGCAGGGATGGGACTCAGCTTGTGAAGAGCCCAGAGGGTTTGACACAAGAAGAGCTTCTGTGGCGGGCAGCCAGAGATGTCCAACCCCCAAGTCTCCCTGTGTTCCTCTAGGTGGCTTTGGCTATTGTTGTCTGTCAGACCTGCATGCAGCAGGGCTATCTTGACAATGGGACAGGGCCAGTATAATCTGAGTACCCTGATCTGATCTCCCAGCGTCCCTGCCTGGCTGTGCCTTCTTGCAGTGCAGCCTTGGATGCCCGAACTTGGTGCTTCCAGGCAGCTGCTACTATAGCTCCTGCCCCAGGAGACCCAGCCTGACCATTGGAGAGCTTCTGCAGTTGGGCCCCTGCTGGCATGCAACTGCCCACAGCCTCTCCCCACCACTTTGTGGCAGCTGCATGGACTCTGCCACCCTGCTTCTAACTGGTGCAGGTGTGGACTGTGTTGCCACTGCCCTACCACCGCCGGTTGAATACATGTTGTCACACTCTGCCAGCTGCAACTACATGCACACGGAACCTGCCATGCTAGCCTGTGCACTTGGACCTGTTACCACTGTGCTAATGAAGTGATTTTGCCAGCACCTCCCATTGAAGTGTTGCTGCCAATGGACCAGGAACACCTTAGCCACTCCAGTGCAGCAAGTGCTTAACCTTAAGCTGCCAAAGAGGAAAGCCGTGAACCTGGTCTCAGCCCCCAAGGGCATGTAGCCCGGCACTGCTGAAATCATCCAGAAACAATGCCAGTCCACTGAACGCAGTGTATGGTGTATGCTGCAGTCAAACCCTCAAAGGCATCAAAGAATATAAAAACAAAATGCCCCATCCAAAGAACAGTAATTTCAAAGATGAAAGGAACATCCCTTCATGTTAAAAACCCTCAACAAACTAGGAATTGAAGGAACATAGCTGAAAATAATAAGAGCCATCTATGACAGACCCACAGCCAACATCATACTGAAGGGGCAAAAGCTAGAAGCATTCCCCTTGAGAACTGGAACGAGACGAGGATGCCCACTCTCACCACTCCTATTCAACATAGTATTGTAAGACCTGGCCAGAGCAGTCGGGCAGGAGAAAGGATCAGAGGCATTCAAATAGGAAGAGAGAATGTGAAACTGTCTCTCTTTGCAGATTATATAATTCTATACCTGGAAACCCCCAAAAGGTCTGCTGAAAATCTCCTAGATCTGATAAATAACTTCAGTAAAGTTTCAGGACACAAAATGAATGTATGTAAGTCAGTAGCATTTCTACACAGCAACAACGTCAAAGCTGAGAGCCAAGTCAAGAACTCAGTCCCATTCAAAATAGCTACAAAAAGAATAAAACACCTAGGAATACAGCTAAATAGGGAGGTGGAAGATCGCTATAGATGAGAATTACAAAACTGCTCAAAGATAACAGAGATAACACAAATGCAAAGATGTTCCACCGTCATGGATAGGAAGAGTCAGTATTGTTAACACAACCGTATGGCCTAAAGCAATTTACAGATTCAGTGCTATTCCTGTCAAACCACCAATGACATTCTTCTCAGAATTAGAGAAAAACTATTCTAAAATTTATATGGAACAACAACAATAACAAAATAGGCCCGGTAGCCATAGCAATCCTAAGCAAAAAGGAGAAAGCCGATATGCATCACATTATCCAACTTCAAACTATGCTACAGGGCTGCAGTAACAAAAACGGCATGGTACTGGTACAAAAACAGACACATAGACCAGTAGAGCAAGTTAGAGAACCCAGAAGTAAAACCACAAAACCGTCTGATTTTCGACAAAGTTGACAACAATAAGCAATGAGTAAAGGATTTCCTATTCAATTAATGGTGCTAAGATAACTTGCTAGCCATATGCAGAAGATTGAAACTGGACCCCTCCTTTCACCATACACAAAAGCCAACTCAAAATGGATTGAAGACTTCAATGTAAAACTTCAAACTATAAAAGCCCTGGAAGATAACCTAGGAAATACCACTCTGGAAATAGGACCTGGCAAAGATTTCATGATGAAGATGCCAAAAGCAATTGCAACAAAACCAAAAATTGACAGATGGGACCTAATTAAACTAAAGAGGTTCTGCACAACGAAAGAAGCTATCATTAGAGCAAAGAGGCAACCTTCGGAGTGGGGAAAAATTTTTGCCATCCATCTGTCTGACAAAGGCCTAATATCCAGAATCTATAAGGAACTTAAATTTATAAGAAAAAAACCCAGCACCCCCATTAAAAAGTGGGCAAAGGACAAGAACAGGCACTTCTCAATAAAAGCCGTACAGGTGGCCAGCAATCATATGAAAAAATGCTCAACATCACTAATCATTAGAAAAATGCAAATGAAAACCACAATGAGATATTATCTCATACCAGTCAGAATGGCTTATTAAAAAGTGAAAAAAGATCAGATGTTGGTGAGATTGCAGAAAAAAAGGAATGCTTCTGGTGGGAATGTAAATTAATTCCATCACTGTAGAAAGCAGTTTGGAGATTTCTCAACTTAAAATGGAACTACCTTTGGACCCAACAGTCCCTTTATGGGTACATACCCTAAAGAATATAATCTTTCTGCCAAAAAGACACGTGCACTCCTGTGTTGATTGCAGCACTATCCACAATAGCGTAGACATAGAAGCAACCTAGATACCCATTAGCAGTAGATTGGATAAATAAAATGTGGTACATATATACCATGGGATACTACAGTCATGAAAAGAATAAAATCATGTCCTTTGCAGCAGCATGGTTAGAACTTGAGGCCATTATGCTAAGTGAATTAATTCAGAAATAAAACACCAAATACTGTATGTCCTTACCTATAAATGGTATCTAAACATTGACTACATATGGACACAAGGGAACAAGAGACACTGCAGCCTGCTCGTGGGTGAGGGTAGCAGGAAGGAAGCCTTGAAAAACTACCTATAGGGTACTATGCTCATTACCTGGGTGACAATGTAATCTGTGTACCAAACCCCTGTGACATGCAGTTTACCCATGTAACAAATCTGCACATGTAACCCCTGAACCTAAAAGTTAGAAAGAAAAAAAAAAAAAAAAAAAAAAAAAAAAAAAAAAAAAAAAAAAAAAAAAAAAAAAAAAAAAAAAGGAAACACACACCATGAGGAGTTGTGGAACTTTTCAGTAAGAATGTATTTGAAAGGATTCGTAGTATTTGGCTTGTGCCAAGTGCCCAGTGATTTTGGAGAAAGTTGAAGGAGTTGAGGCTTTGGTATGTATTGCATACTGTCAGGAAGGAGGCTGTTCTTGCATTGCTATAAAGAAATACCTGAGACCGGGTAATTTCTGAGAAAACAGATTTAATTGGCTTATGGTTCTGCAAGCTGTGGAGGAAGCATAGTAGCATCTACTTTTGGGGAGGCCTCAGGAAGCTTCTAGTCATGATGGAAGGCAAAGGGGAAGGAGATGTGTCACACGGTGGAAGCAGGGGCAAGACAGCAGAGAGAAGGAGGTGCCACATACTTTCAAATGACCAGATCTCGCAAGAACTCATTCACTATCATGGGGACAGCATCATGTGGATGGTGCTAAACCATTCATAAGAAACCCACCCCTGATTCAGTCACCTCCTACGAGGCCCACCTTTTACACTGGGGATTACATTTCAACATGAGACTTGGGCAGGGACAAATATTCAAACTATATCAAAGGGAATTCTGTGGTTTGTTTCCTAATAAATTTTATCTAAGCTAGAGGAATTGAAGCAGCTGTTTTCACCTGGGTTTCTGGATATGACTAGTGTTTGGATGGGGGGGTGGTAAATTGCACACCTTTATTTGAGCTCACTTTTTGTTTTTTGGTTTTTTTGAGGCAGAGTCTTACTCTGTCACCCAGGCTG